GTATGTGTGTGTGTGTGTGTGTGTATATATATATATATATATATATATATATATATCTGTGTCTGTGTAAACTACTTGTAGCTGATAACGACAGAACCTTGTCGAAACATTGTACATTTCCTGTTATGTTAAACTTATATTAAAGAGTTTCTTCTTTATCAATTCAAGCCATCTCAAGAATTAAAATTGACACTAATACACCAAACAACATTACACTGCAATTTACCATTTATCCCTGACATCAGTTCAGAACTAATTAACACTTGGAGAAAACTTGCTATCAAACATAAAATTTCCAAAATCATTATTAAATGAACATTACACAGAATCACAATTTCAATGTCATTTATAAAACAACATGCAATAACTGTCCAGAATTTTACATTGGAGAAACAGGTAGAAATTGGAAACCAGATTAACTGAGCATAATAAAAAATCCTCCCATGTTTACCACCATTGCAACTCCAAAAACCACAGTATATCCATTCAAAACACTAATTTTCAACAAAGAACCTAACATCAATAAACATAAAATAATAGAAGCTATATTAATTGAAGAAAACAGCCACACCCTGAGGTAACAAGATACCTATATTAGACTGTGAAGCAATATCCTGTTATGTGATTTCTCTGTTCTACACTTGTGTACCTCTGTGAGGTACTTGTAACTGAGGATGTCAAAATGTTGTACAGTTATAATAAAGTTTTTTCATTGCCCAGTCAAGGCATCTCAAAACTTTTAAATACTAACAAAAGTCAGAATTTAGAAGTATAATAGACACAAAAGACTGTGATAACAATCTACCTGGAATAGCCCATCATTTTAGATAAGATCATGCAATAAAATGGAATAATGCTCGAAAATATTAGGATACTAAGCATACAAGATGAGAGAAAGATAAAAGAAACCTTCTACATTTATCTAATTGATAACTCAGCCTAGCACAGAAATCAGCAAAACTTGCATACTCCTTTTCCTGAAATTGTTCAAATAGTTAGTTGACTAAAGTCTCAGTAGTTCTGAGAGTTTGGGTGAGTGGATAGGACATCTGCTTTTTGAACAAGCCATTCTCTGAATTTTCTGAAGATGTTAGTAGGTTACACCCAAAGCATGGTAACTAGTATCTAGTAACTAATTAGTTTTAGGTGATTGTATAGGCTATTAACCATGGCAACATTTGATGGCTGGCATCGTGCATTACTGTTTTAGAGGACAAAAATGGAATTTTTTGTCAGTGTGAGCTTCAAGATTTCCTTGGTTGAACTTTTAAATTTTTCATTTAAGTTTTATGCCATGGCTTCAAAATTTTTCTATTAGAATGGTAAGATTCAAATGAACTAGTAAGTCATAACTTTGATAAAATCAGGAAGTTATTTTGTTACAAGGAAATATTTGTAAGTATAAAATATCTGTAAATTTGGAAATGTATTATCATTTATATATTTTTCATTATCTGGGAAAGGGAGGGTGGGTTGTGAGTCATAGTGCTTATTGTCTGCAGAAGTTCCAATATCCCTGTTTAGTCTATAACAATATAATATACTGATCTTAACCTTTTTCAGTAAAAGTTAAAGCCTACATAACATTTAGATGTATTCCAGCTATTCTAAAGGGGGTAATACATTGAGATTTGTTGAGGAGACTTGCTCCTTGAGTGCTTTGAAGGGGATGTTTACTATTATTTTTAACTACTATGTGATTGTGCCATCAATTTTTAAGTCAGTTGATATAAAGCATTGAATTTTTGTTTTTCAGTTATTTGTTGTTAGTGCCTCAGAACCTAGGCTACCTCTGCAGATTGAAGATGCATCCAGACCAGAAAATGAAGAGGTGAGATTAAGGCTGGTTGTGGTATTCTCTATAATAGCACAAGTCTTTTTCCTGTTTTAAGTAATATGAAGGAACCAAATAAGTAACATACTTGTTTCAGTTTGATAAACCATAATATTTATTTCAAAATAGCTGAAACACTTTAAATCATATTTCTTCTTCTCAAAGTATAATTGTCTACTGTTCTACCAATAATTCAAAATTGAAGTATTTTAATACAGTAAAGACTTTCCTACGTTTCCTTTTAATATTTAAGTTTATTTAATTTTTTTATTGTTGTTTTTTCAAATATTGTTTTAGCTATTAATCCACGTTAAAAAGTAAATAATTATAATATCTGGGGAGAAACCTGGTTGTGTGTATCTTTTGTATGACACAATGAAATATACAGAGGAAACTTTCATTTTACTTTTGTTAGAAATTGTTTTAGAAAATTCATTCTTATTTGTTACTTTTTATAAAATTTCTGAGTAAATCTAAAAAAAAGCTGTCTTAAGTGTCCATTGAACATTTGTTTACTTTACAAGTAATGTTTAACTGTGGGAAAGCTTTATACATGTTTTCAAAATACCGATATTTTAACTCGTATTGTATCAGTTTAAATTTAATAGTGGTTAATGGATTTAATATTTTATTTAGTAAAAACTGTGTTATGGTTGCAATGCAAAGAACAGAGATAAGACCTTGGAATGCTTAAAAAAAATAAAAAACTAATGAACTAAATGATAATCTAACAGCTCCTGTTGAATAAAGGTTAAATTTGTTTCTGTTAACCCGTTACTTACCGTGGCCATTTTGTCCTATTGTAAGGGCAAAATCACATTTGTGAATTGAAAAAATGATAGAGAACTTATCTTTTATTGGATTTCATATTTTATTTTTGTAAATAGTAGCATAACATTCAATTATTTTTATACAAAATTGTATTATTTAATGTAGTTTAAAGAGGAATTTAATGAAAAAATTCCTAAAATACGTTTTAGACTGTAAATAAGCACCCTCTAAGAAGAAAATTTTTTTTCTAAATTTTTTTAAGATATTTC